ACCCTGTGCACCTATTTCTTATTTTGTACCCTGTGCATCTATGTCTCGTTTTGTTCCCCTGTGCGCCTATTTTTTATTTTGTACCCTGTGCACCTATTCCTTATTTTGTACCCTTGTGCACCTATTTCTTGTTTTGTACCCTGTGCACTTATTTCTTATTTTGTACCCTGTGCACCTATTTCTTATTTATTTTAACCTGTCCACCTTATACTTCAGCCATGGCCTACAGAGACAGACGAACCCATCGCGCCGCGCGTGCGGATTTGAATGTCATAAACTGTCATCGCCGATATACATATCTCGACTATTCACAGTCTGAGTTCAGACTGCGAGAACCAAAGGTTAGTGCACATACTTTGGAGAACGCACTTAGAATAGGTACTCCGTGTTAGAAATACAAGAACCACCTGTTATGGTATATCCAGATACAGATGTAATGATGTATAATACATACCAGTGTATATTACTAGTAGGTGTATATTATTAATGCATGTATATTATCAATAAGTGTATATATTAATACGTGTATATTATCAAAAAGTGTATAATATTAACACATGTACAATATAAACACATGTACAAAATTAGCACTATAATATTGATACATGTGTATTATTAGCACATGTATGAGATATTAACACGTGCACATTATTAGTACATGTATATTAATTACACCTGTATAGTGCCCTGTACAACCCCGTGTATCGTTAATCGCATTCGGATGTTGATGTAATATTCCAGTAGTAGTGCGACTATTCTATTCTTTAACTGTGTCTATTGGAGACGACATAGTCCTTTCTCGAGCACACTTGTGAACCGTTCGCTTCTGATGTACCCAATAGTAATCCTGGTCAGTTGTGTGTACTTCACCACTGTCTCTGCCACACAATGCTCTATAACCCACTCGAGTGACTATACCACTTGCTCAGCCCGTACAATTCGATGCCGCAGTGGCTTCACTGACAGTCTCTTCTGTCCTCTTTGATTGTCCTGTGCCAGGCCCAGGCGTATCTCCCCCTCGAGCGTGCGTACAGATACTCGCCCATACCGTATGATCTTGATCCACAGTACCATCACAAGGTGCTCGGCGGACAGGCGCAGCTGTTTACTGAGGTGAGTCGTGCCTGGCCACCGAAGTACCGGAGTGGTTGCTCGAACCATCTGATACGGCCGTACGGCTAAGCATCCCCTCGCAAACAACTTATGTTTGGTTTATGCCTACGCTGTAAACATTTGCATTAGTACCAAAGTACCTCAACGAGCACTTCATTGTTGCTCTGATGTATGGCACGTAGTCTACCTCGTGGGCGCTGGTTGTGTTTTAGGGTTTTAGGGTTTATCCGCGACCGCGTAAACGTTTAACGCAAATGTTGATACTTCCGTTATTGTTCAACGTTTGTGTATAGTATGCCGTCGACAGAAGGTCACGCGCTGGCGACTTTGCAATTTCAGTCATACGGCGCACCCGTTGAAAGGCTACTGTGCAGCTATGGCGCACCATTTATCTCACCTGGCTATTTGTCCATTATCATCGCCTACGATACAGTACATCACCTCATGGGCACACCATTTATCTCACCTGGCTATTCGTCCATCACCATCGTCTACGATACAGCACATCACCTCATGGGCACACCATTTATCTCACCTGGCTATTTGTCCATTACCATTGCCTACGATACATTACATCACCCCATGGTCGCACCATTTATCTCACCTGGCTATTTGTCCATTATCATCGCCTACGATACAGTACATCACCTCATGGGCACACCATTTATCTCACCTGGCTATTTCTCCATCATCATCGTCTACGATACAGCACATCACCTTATGGTCGCACCATTTATCTCACCTGGCTATTTGTCTATTATCATCGCCTACGATACAGCACATCACCTCATGGGCGCACCATTTATCTCACCTGGTTATTTGTCCATTACCATCACCTACGATACAGTACATCACCTCATGGGCGCATCTGATGTACATGGCATACCCACGTACATGCGCAATCGCAGACCGCCTGTGGAACACCAACGGAACAACCGACTACGACGAGTTCAAGGTAGACAGGATTAAATATATGCGTACACATATATTGAAACATATGCACATATGTATAGTTAAACATATGCATACACGTATAATTAAACATACCCATATATCTACATTTAAAATTAAACATACGCCGACAAGTATAATGACACATATGCGAACACATTTAAACATATGCACACTAGTATAGTTACACGTATAAGTACATATTTAAACATATGCACACAAGTATAATTACACATATGCGTACATGTTTAAACATATGCATACTGTATAATTCCAACATATGCATACATGTACAATTAAAAATATGCATAAACGTATATATAAATAAAGACATAAATGTTATAATTCAAAATATGCAGACATGGATAATGAAACTTATGCACAAATGTACAATGCTTGCGTACACTCTCTATATATGCACATACAGCCCACTCTCGAGTTCAATACGACATCATAGAACCCTTTTTATGACCAGAGTTGATCTGTGTGGTTTTGCCATTGTGACCATATCCGCTCGTACAGGACAGGCATCTAGGACTCTCTCACCCGACCCATCACTGATCCAATGCAAAATAAAATTGCTACTCACATGATACTCTCAGGAACGTCTGGCTATTCACCTCGATCGATTAAAGGCTCTAGGAGTCAACTACCGCCAGCCAGATGAGATACAGACGACAGCGTAGGTACGCACACGTGCTCATATATACACCTGCTATACAATGCACACAATATATATTCTTATATTGTTATATTATACATATAAATATATATATGTGTGTCTATGTATGCATGTACGAATGTATATGTATATACGTATATATATGTGTGTATGTATATGTATA